GACTTCCCTGTTTTCTGGCATCCCTGACTCCTGGCTTTTCCTTATCGTTGTGTCTCTTTCTGTATCCCTTAACCTTGGCTATTCCGGACTATTCTTTGGTACGTTAATCCGGTATACGATACCTATCAGTCCTCTGTGTTACACAATTCTACGTGCAGGATCATTCTGTAATCCTGACATTACAGCATGGCCATAGATCATGTAGAATTGTGTAAGCACATAGCTGCTTGTGAAAGGAAACTGGAGGATAATGATCACCGCATGGATCAATTTGCCCAGGCCTTCAGTACGCTTCTTACCAGAACAGCGCATCTGCAACCTGCGGCCTCACCACCACCTTGACCAGCTATAGTACACAAGGCACCTACTATCTCCCTATCGCCTCCCCTGCATTTTGATGGTAACATTCAAGAATGCCAGGGATTTATTAACCAAATGGAGTATCATTTTGAGGCCTCACCGGGATCTTTACCCACAGACAGAGCTAAAATTGGTTATCTAATGAATCAGTTAAAAGAAAGCTTTAGCTTGGGCCAATCCATTATGGGAGAGTAATAGGAGTGTGGCACAATTACCAGGAGTTCCTTACAGAATTCAAACTTACGTTTGAACCTTTAGGCAGAGAGGATGACGCCTCTACTGCCCTGATGCACTTCAGACAAGGGAACCGGTCTATCTCGGAATATGACATACAATTTTGTACCCTAGCTTCCGAGGTAGACTGGACTAATAGTGGGTTAATCTCTGCATTTAAAAAGGGATTATCTGAAACTATGCTAGATGAGATTGCCGCCAAAGACTTACCCAAAAAGCTTAATGAATTTATCACTTTTGTCATGCAGATTGATAATAGATTAAGAACCAGAGAAGCTACTAGAAACAAGATCAGATGCATGAGAATGCATTTAGCACCCAGTTTCTCCAGACCTATTGTCCCTGAAATTCCTGTACAGTCCGAACCCGAACCCATGCAGTTGGGGGTCACTAGACTGTCAGAAGCAGAAAGACAATATAGGAGAAAAGAAGGCCTATGTCTATACTGCGGTAGGAAGGGACATATGAGAAACAATTGTCCCATACATCTGGAAAACTACCGCACCTAAGCACCTTAAGGGGACAGGTTTTAGGTGTAATGGAAACGTCCTCTGAAAAGAATAAAAATAGGTTTCTCCTTGACATTTCTATCGCCTTTGACAAAAAGAACTTTTCATGCAAAGCCCTGATGGATTCAGGTGCTGCTGGAAACTTCATCGATGTTCAATTTGTCAAAGGTAATACTATACCTATCAAAGAGAGACTATCACCCCTAGCTGTTGAAGCTATTGATGGGAGACCACTCTCACAACCATTGATAACGCATGAAACCTTACCCATTAATATTTCCATTGGTGCATTACATAAGGAAGATATTACATTTCAGGTGATTGCATCTCCTTCTTGTCCTATTATATTAGGATTCCCATGGCTTAGCAAGCATAACCCTCATATTGACTGGGCTAATGGGGAAATATTAGCATGGGGTAAGGATTGTAATGAAAGGTGCATGTCAATAAAAGATTGGGCACTATTGAATTACCCACTAGTACACCTCAAAATCCTGAGATCCCTATACAATACCAATACATTAAAGATGTATTCAGCAAGACTCAGTCTAATACTCTACCTCCTCACAGACCATATGACTGTTCCATTAACTTACTACCAGGCGTTATGCCAGCTAAGGGAGCAGTCTATGCTCTATCTCCTCAGGAGAGTAGTGTAATGGAGGAATATATTAAAGATTCATTGAATAAAGGCCATATACAAAAATCATCCTAGCCTGCTGGTGCAGGATTCTTTTTTGTATCTAAAAAGGATGGTGAGTTGCGCCCATGTATCGATTACAGGGCATTGAACAAAATCACCATTAAGAATGCTTACCCCATTCCTCTTATTGCTGAATTATTTGACAGACTCCAGGGCGCTAAAGTTTTTACTAAGCTTGACCTTTGAAGCGCCTACAATTTAGTGAGAATCAAGGAAAACCACGAGTGGAAGACTGCATTTAATACCAGAAGTGGACATTATGAATATCTAGTGATGCCAATCGGGTTGTGCAATGCTCCAGGGGTTTTCCAAGATTTCATTAATGATGTACTCAGGGATTACATTTACTCGTTTGTCCTGGTCTATCTGGATGATATCCTTATTTATTCTCCTGATCTCCAGTCTCACCACGATCACGTTAAACAATTTCTGCAAACCCTGTTAAAATAACCAACTTTATTGTAAATTGGAAAAATGTATATTTAACCAGTCTGAAGTACAGTTTTTAGGATATAATATTTCTGCCTCTGGGTTTCAGATGGATCCTAAAAAACTAGAGTCTGTTCTACAGTGGCCTTTACCCACTGGATTAAAAGCCATTCAAAGGTTCTTTGGTTTCGCCAATTATTACAGAAGATTTATAAAGGGATTTTCTTCAGTAATAGCCCCCATCACCAATATGACACGCAAGGGGGCTAGTAGTATGATATGGTCTAAGGAGGCAATTGAAGCCTTTGAAACTCTCAAACAGCGGTTTGCCTCCGCCGACATATTGATACATCCTGACACCAGTAAGCCTTTCATACTGGAGGTTGATGCTTCAGAGACAGGGGTAGGGGCAGTTTTTTTTTCTCAGAGGGAGAACCAGGAAACTCTGTTACATCCTTGTGGTTACTTTTCTAGAAAGTTGTCTCCTGCTGAGCGCAATTACGATATTGGCAATAGAGAATTTTTGTCCATTATTCTAGCTCTCAAGGAGTGGCGACATCTTCTAGAGGGTTCCAAGGACCCCCTTTTGATCATTACTGATCACAAAAACCTGGCTTACATAGGAGATGCTAAGCGATTATCTTCTAGGCAAGCTAGGTGGTCTCTATTTCTTTCTCGCTTTAATTTTCTTATCACCTACAGACCTGGTTTTAAAAATGTCAAGGCCGACGCCTTGTCCAGACAGTTTGATACTGAGGCTATACTAGAGCAAGAAACGTCCCATATCATTCCCCTGGAATGTATCATGGCGTCCACTCTCCTTTTATTGTCCTCTCCACTGCTTGGCTCCATCATGGAGGCTCAGTCTCAGGCGCCCTGCGGTAAACCTCAGGACAAAGAGTTCGTTCCATTGGGGGAAAGGGTTAATATCATGAAGGTGTTTCACGACAATGTGTCTGCTGGTCACCCAGGTATTAATAAATCCACTTTTGCTATCATGAGGTCATTCTGGTGGGATTCCCTCAGGAAGGATGTTAAGTAATATGTGCAGGCTTGTTCTGTTTGTGCGGTTTCCAAAGTGCCTCAAAAACTCCCTTGTGGCTTGTTACAACCTCTTCCTATTCCTGAGGTCCCATGGTCCCACTTGTCCATGGACTTCATTGTTGAACTTCCTAGTTCTAACTGTCATACCACCATTCTCATGGTTGTGGACCGTTTTTCTAAAATGGCTCATTTTATTCCTCTCAAGAAATTGCCGTCATCTCAAGACCCGGTACTAGTCTTTATACTAGAAATGGTCCGTCTGCATGGCATTCCTCACAATATAGTATCTGACAGAGGTTCTCAGTTTGTGTCTTGTGGCTGTCCGAGAGTGCGTTATTGATTCTGGTTATTTGACTTTGGCATTGTTTTTGACTTCCCTGTTTTCTGGCATCTCTGACTCCTGGCTTTTCCTTATCGTTGTGTCTCTTTCTGTATCCCTTGACCTTGGCTATTCCTGACTATTCTTTGGTACGTTAGTCTGGTCATTCTAAGGTCCGGTATACGTTACCTATCAGTCCTCTGTGTTACTGATCATTCTGTAATCCTGACACCTGTCAAGGGATGTGCGTCAAACCAGCTAGGCCCAGAGCTGCTACGAGATTTTTCCCATTATCACACCAGGCCTGGCTTGAGCCTCAGTGGCAACAACCACTCATTGGTCTGTTGTTCCATGCCCGTTCACAGCTCCTGCGCGGTGTGGGGTTTTTCCCCCAAACATATGAGTTTAAAAACAGCCTGCTGTTGTTTCCCCCTGGCTGTGCTAAAGTTGGTGGTGAAGGTGTTACGCTTACCGGATGAGGAGGTTGTAGAGTAGGAGGAGGAAGAAGCTGAGTAGGAGGAGGAGGCAACAGGAGGCAAAGCTGTGTACCCAAATAAAGATTGTCAAACGTTGTATCCTGGAACTGTGTCCCATCCGGTTACTGGGGAAATGAGTCTGACCTATTCTAATCAAAGGGGATAACCATTGGTTAACCAGATCCTGCTTCAATTGGTGACAAGCAGCGGGATCCCATGTCCCTGCCAACAGACCCATGGACTACAGTGCTCTAAAGCGACCTACACTGCAGGACTTGTGTGGAGCCAGAGGAATAACACCTGGTGGGCGTAACAAGGCTCACGGAGGACAACCAAGCACGCAGTGAGGCAACGAACTCCAGTCAGGGGCCAGAGATGAGGAGGAAGTGCGCAAGGAGGTGTAACGGCGCCTGGCATATTACCGAGAGCCACCCTCAGAGGAGATTGTCAGCAGGACCTTTTTGGAGGTGCAAGCCTATGTCCTTGCCAATAGACAGAGGGCGACCTCCATGAACCCAGATGAAGGAAGAAGGGAGCAGAGGGCACCGGGAAGCACAACCACCCTGGCCCACAAGCTACCATACAATGCCTTCAAAGACTTCAAGGAAGCAGAAGAAGTCATTGATTACTTTTTACAAAACTTTGAGTGCCAGTGCCTACTCCAAGACGTGGACCCCAGCCAGCAAACTAGTGGGAAGGCAACAGATATTTACCGGGCTGTACTAGAAGAGCAGATCAGAGACTATCCCTTTATTACCCAAATCCTCCTGGCCCGGTATGCGGTCACCCCCGAGCAATACCACCAAAAGTTTAGGGAGACCCGGAAAGGGGACTCCCATGCGGAGTGGGCATGCCGCATCACAAGGGCCACCCAGAACTGGCTCAACTCCCATCAAGCCTAGTTCCCGGAGGAGATCACCCAGCTCGTCATGCTAGAGCACTTTTTCAATGGGCTCCCCAACGACAAGGCGACAACGCATTTGTATGTCATCCATATCAACTTTCGATGCCACTTACTGCACCTACCACGCGTAACGGGGATTCAGGGTTCGATTACGGAGAGGGAGCCTGAGAAACGGCTACCACATGCAAGGAAGGCAACAGGCGCACAAATGACCCACTCCGGATGTGGGAAGGTAGTGACGACAAATAACAATACAGGACACTTTAGAGGCCCTGTAATTGTTATGAGTCCACTTGAAATCCTTTAATTCTGATCAATTGGAGGGCAAGTCTGTTGCAGAGTGACTGACCCGTGCATGCTGCAGCTGAAACTCCACTATCGCCTGCTGCTGCTTGCACAGTCTCTCCAGCATGTGCAAGGTGGAGTTCCACCTTGTGGGCACATCACATATGAGGCGGTGAGCGGGAAGGCCAAAGTTATGCTGCAGCAAAGACAGGTGAGCAGCAGCAGAGTGAGAATGCCGAAAGCGCGCACAGCCGCTACAGTGAATGTCACACCCTGTTCCAAGTTGCAGATCAGTCTGGTGATGGCTTCTGGTATCCAGTACTCTTTTTAATGAAGCTGCATCAGGGTCCTGGCATGTGGCCGCACAAACGCTGGTGCTCACACTGTGACTCCTAACTTCAACTTTAGGCATACTGGGTCCCGGTCGTCCGACCGCCGCCCAGACAGTGGCTGGGTCCCGGTCACCGGACTGCGAAACTGTGAATGGCTCGTTAAATCTGTTATGGTTCCTTTTATCGCTCCATCTGTTACTTGGATAACTGTGGGAATTCTAAAGATAATACATGCCGACGAGTGCTAGGGGACGGCCACTCCGCTTGTTCACCCTGCTCCCTCTTATGCTGTGCTGGTGCCTCTGTGCGACCACCGCCTCTTCCTCCAAACTGCACACGTCACTCGTATGACCTTGATTCCATGTGGGGTCTAGGACCTCATCATCCTCCACATCATCTTCCACCCACTCCTCAACCCTGTCCTCATTGCCGGTCTGCACACTGCAGAAAGCCACAGTAGTTGGCATCTGTGTTTTTCCAAAGGACAAAGGACATATGGAAAATGTTATAGAATTGTATCCAGGCTACAGTTTTCCCTATCAACTGACCTCTCAGTTTGACTTGTGAGGATACTGCCCCCGAATTACAATATTGTTATATTGGTATTTGACGGTTCTATTTGACTGTCAGATATGAAGTGCAGGCCGCAAATGTACTATTTATACCCCAAAATATTTGAATTGGTCAAACTGTGCTGTAACCACAGTATTTGACAGTTCTTTTTGACTCTCAGATATGAAGTGCACCGCAGGCCGCAAATGTACTATTTAGCAACCCAAAAATTTGAATGTTTAAAAATGCTATGTCACAGCACTATTTTGATGGTTCTATTTGACTCTCAGATATGAAGAGCACGCCCCAAATTTACTATTTAGCAAATTAGCAATTAATATAGAGGTGGTAAATGGACCCAAATATTGTTTCTAAATTAATGTGGGAAAGGTAAATGGCCACCCAATATTGTTTAGAAATTTATGTGGGGTGGTTAATGGCCACCAAATATTGTTTATAAATTAATAAGGGGTGGTAAATGGCCGCCACTTTGTGTTGTAAACAAATAGGGTGAGGGAGGTGAACAGCTAGTGCTGGGTTAAGAGTCTGTTGGCTCTTGTGATGATTATGATGGGACTAATTACAGAATTATAGAAACCACTAAAAGAGCCATACCCCGCAAGTGTCTTGTATCTGCTGGAGGATGCATTTTAAACCTACATATACCCTATGTCAATCTTTCTCTTCCATCTCTCGGCCCAGTCTCTCTCTCTCTCTCTCCCTCTATCTCTCACTACTCACAAGATCTGACTCCTCGCTCCTCGGGACTCCTTTGCCCCACCATCTTAAAACTTCACCAGTCGCCACTAGACATCAGGTAACAGTCCCAAAAAAAGCATAGCACAAGTGCATCATTAGACGTGCTTGCACTATGCTCATGGCTGAAACAGTGCTCCCTGCATGGTCTGCCTTTGGTTGACTAGTCTGCTTCATTGTCAGACAGCCGGGGGTGCATTTGTGACAATCTGACATGCTACTTTTTCAGGTGGAACCACCTCTTTCTAGGCAATTCACAACACTGTTCCATCCATTTTAAATCACCTATCATTTTCAGATGTTTACTACCAAGATTTACTTGGGATATAATAGACATGATTGACATATCCATGGAAGACTAGTTATGAATGATATATACAGGTTTATTATGTGAATTGCACTTTATCGTAGTTTGTGTATATCAGTGGAATTTATAATGAGCAATTAGTGCTCATGCGTATTGAAATGACATCACTCATTTATCTAAATGACTACATGCCTGCCAAAATCCCTGCTATCTTGACATATTAGGTTGGATTACTTTGGCACATTAACTCATGGTGTACCCTTGGAATTTACCTGAAATATAAAACAGAGTAATTTATTTGTATGCAAACTATATACATATATACACATATATTGACCTTGTCGCCAGTGGCGTACATACCAGGGTCGCAGGGGTCGCGGCTGCGACCGGGCCCGGCCCACCAGAGGGCCCGGTCGCCCCTGCGACCTGGTATGTACCCACAGGGCCAGCCTCTTCCCCTGGGGGGCCCAGGAGCTGATCACCCCAGGGCCCCCTGAGGCTGGCCCTGCTGTCACCGGGCGGGCGGGTGGCCGGTCGGGCAGGTGGGCGCGCGAGGGAGCACTCAGTGCTTCCTCTTCAACTCCCTCGCGCACCGCACTGAAACCGGAGCCGGAAGATGACGTCATCTTCCGGCGCCGGCATCCCTACGCGGCGCGCGAGGGAGCTGAAGAGGAAGCACGGAGTGCTCCCTCGCGCGCCCGCCTGCCCGACCAGGAGCCCAGCAGCACCACTGGACCCCAGGGAATCCCCCCAGCACTCCAAAAGGTAAGGAGGCTGGGGGGATTACTTTAAAAAAAAAAACATGTGTTAGTGTTTGAGTGTTAGTGTGAGTGTTAGTGAGTGTGAGTGTTAGAGTTAGAGTGAGTGTGAGTGTTAGAGTGAGTGTTAGTGTGAGTGTTAGAGTGAGTGTGAGTGTTAGAGTTAGTGTGAGTGTTAGAGTCAGTGTTAGTGTGTGTGTCTGCTAGTGAGTGTCAGTGAGTGTGTTACTGTGTGTGTTACTGAGTGTGTTTGTGTGTGTGTTAGTGAGTCTGTTTGATGTCTATTAGTGAGTGTGTTTGTCAATGAGAGTGTATGTTTTGTAAGTGAGTGTGTATGTATGTCTGTCGCTGAGTGTGTCTCTGTCAGTAAATGTGTGTGTCTGTTAGCTAGTGTGTATGCGTCTGTAAGTGTGTGTGTGTGTGTGTCTTCAGCACTTACCTTTCTCCAGCGCCGGACTCCCTTGGCGCTGGGGAACCCTCAGCCTCTCAGCTCCGAATGTGACCGCGCATGCATTCAAACCGCCCATATGAAAGCATTACTCAATGCTTTCCTATGGACGTTCAGTGTGCTCCTCTAGCGGCTGTCAGTGAGACAGCCACTAGAGGCTGGATTAACCCTCAGTGAAACATAGCAGTTTCTCTGAAACTGCTATGTTTTCAGCTGCAGGGTTAAAACTAGAGGGACCTGACACCCAGACAACTTCATTGAGCTGATGTGATCTGGGTGTCCTTTAAAGGACTACTATAGTGCCAGGAAAACATACTCTTTTTCCTGGCACTATAGTGCCCTGAGGGTGCCCCCACCCTCAGGGTCCCCCTCCCGCCCGGCTCTGGAAAGGGGAAAAGGGGTAAAACGTACCTTTTTCCAGCGCTGGGTGGAGAGCTCTCCTCCTCCGATCCTCCTCTTCTCCTCCCCATCGGCAGTATGCGCACGCGCGGCAAGAGCTGCGCGCGCATTCAGCCGGTCACATAGGAAAGCATTCATAATGCTTTCCAATGGACGCTGGCGTGCTCTCACTGAGCACGCAAGCGCCTCTAGCGGCTGTCAATGAGACAGCTGCTAGAGGAAATAGGGGAAGGCTTAACCCATTCATAAACATAGCAGTTTCTCTGGAACTGCTATGTTTATGAAAAAATGGGTAAACCCTAGCTGGACCTGGCACCCAGACCACTTCATTAAGCTGAAGTGGTCTGGGTGCCTAGAGTGGTCCTTTAAGTGTGTGTGCATCTGCATGCACTGGCGTACATACCGCGGTCGCAGCCCTGTAACCCCTGCGACCAGGTGCCAACCGCCATGTGTTTCGGCCCGGCCCGCGCGCGTGGGGGGGGCCCCACGGATCAATTTTCGCACCGGGGCCCCATGGGTCATGTGTACGCCACTGCTTGTCGCCCATCCAGGTAGTATTCTACCAGAATCCTGGCAGTCTGAGTATTCTGCACAGTTTCTTAGCTGTTCCTAGAACTGCACTCTTATCTGGACAGTGATCTCAGATGTCCCACCTGGAATCTGCTGAAGCCACTTCCCCAACTTGGTGATTAGAAACCTGAATATATGTTAAATTAAACAACATAAAATGTTTAAGGTAGATGACCAAAGAGTCTTAAAAATGAGAAATCAGACTTATTAGATCTGGCAGCAAGGAATATGTTTAAACCAATATAATAGACACAAGCACATGTCTTAACCCTTTAAGGACACATGACACGTGTGACATGTCATGATTCCCTTTTATTACAGAAGTTTGTTCCTTAAGGGGTTAACCACACCTATGGAGGGTGTATGTTATACATAAAGATGTCCATACAAAGAAGACAATCTAAACAGTTATAAGTGCCAGAAACAAAAAGTACAGATATATGCAGAACATATACATAAACGCATTCACAAAAGGAACAAAATCTACTAAATTACAAGAAGCATAAAAGCATAAAAGTGCATATATGAGCAGAAGGACCATAGAGACATATTTATCCCACTAGAAGGGGAATAAAGGCTGGAGACATAAATAAAACTACAAAGTGGCCACCAAACAAACAAACAAAAAAAAAAAAAAACAATTACTGTACAAAAGAATACTAAAAATATATACAAAACTTAACAAAGGGAAACTCCAGAAGAAAATCAGGGGCAGACTCACTCATGGGTGCAGAATGCACCTACAGAAATCAGTGTCACTCCAGCTTCTTATAGGGACCACAGTGCTACACTGTGT